TGGAATATGAACTAAATATAGGTTATACTATTATGATTGCCGTGAAAAAAAGTGTTCTTGGTATATATTTATAACTGCATTGTGTTTCTATTTTTTTATTTACAATTATTGCTGTTATTCCTATAGAAAGAATTTGATTGATTTTGAATTCTATGCCAATGGAGTATATTGGATATTGATATTAGTAGTGATGATTTAGATTATTTTGTATTAAAAAGGTGATAGCCATGGAATTGAAATTTAGGGATATTGATGAATATTGTTATATATTAAGTAAAATCTGATATTGATATAAGATTGTAGGTAAACTTTTGGATATCTGATATAGCATTTATAGTTGATACAATGGTCTACATAAGAAAGTTTTAGGTAAAAGAGGAATATTAGAACAAAGATAAGTATTTATTTAATGGTGATTTGGATGTTGATGGGTAGGTAATAATGATAGCAAGTAAAGATAAATGAAATAAAAACTGTAAACCATTTTTTGCCTTTACATTTTTGTTGTGAATTATAACTCAAAGACATTGTATGAATTTTGAAAAAAAAAAGTATAGACTTTCGGCCTAAAATGTTAAATAATGAAAATAGGGGAGATAGGTGTAATTTTTAGAACTCGAGGGGAGCTTTCTATAGTTATTAAAAATCTTAGGGGAGGTATGTGAAATTAACCCAAATTTTAAGCATGATGACCTTGGCTGCACACTTTCGAGATTAGTTATGCATATAACTGGAAATCTAAATCCAACTTTTGGGGCACAACATTGTTTTCAGTCCCATGCGGTGCAACTTCGATCCCAAATATGGCTGAAAGACAACCTAGTTGTAGGATTCTCGAATTAAGTTCGGTTAAGTAACTGAGTGTTCAAGTTTATTTCACTAACTCTCCAAACCAAATTGGAACAACATTTTATATTAGTAAACTTTCGAACTTCAAGCTATTCAAACTCAAGATTAGGTCGATAAAAGCTCATTTTAGTTTGTCTTGATAAATAAATAAGTCAAATTTAGAATCAATTTCAAATTTATTAAAGTAATCAAACAAGTTTGGACATATGAATGTTTAGTTTAATTAGATTCGTTTACAACTCTAATCCCAACTGACACTATTTTGATGTCTATGAGTACAAAAAAGATTTGATTAGAGATGTAAGTGGCCACGCAATTGGGAGATACCTTCAAATTGGAATGCTCCAATTATACTTCAAAGTGATAGATTCAGAAGATGTTGATTTCAATTTCTTTTCAAGATATCTGTAATTGGTGCTTGAGAAATGAAATCATACGTTTCTAATCACTCCTTTTAATTTCTACGTCCATTTTATAGTCTCTTGCTTATTTTCCTCTGGTTACGCCTTTACAGAAGATGGAATAAATTAAAGTAATCCAAACCTCTCCTTTACATGCCATAACTTTTTCTTTAAATTTTTATCTCTCTCTGTCTAAATTATTACTAAAAGTTGATTTCTCTTTTTCTTTTTTTGCCAAAAAATTTTGTTTTTTCAATATGTCTTTGATAAATATGATATATCGGTGTTAATACAGCAGTGATTATTTTACTTCATGCGCTAATCAAGCAAGAAGACGTGTACTGATTCAATAATGTTAGTGAAGAAGCACGGAACTTCCCCGGGTAGAGCTGACCTGATCAGCTCGGGGTGCTGATGGAAGAGCTGACTCCGAGCCTGCAAAACAGAAAGGAAGAGCTAACAAAAAAGGGGGGCCCGAGGGTTGTCCCCGAGGGCACTCCGACGGTCAAGTTAGTTCTCCGGTGAGTAGAGTTTACTGGAAGTGGTAACAGCCGGGAGTAATTTGCCTATAGTGAACGTACCTTGTACAGTTGACGTGTGCTACCATTTATACCTGCGAGAGAGTCCGACCTCCGTACGTTTCGGGGCCTGCCCGGAATAGCCGGTATCCCACACTTAAGGGGATTCCCTCCGACCTCTTCGGGATGAACCCTTCCCCCCTCGGGAGCCCTAGTGGTGCGGCCCAGGTCGGCTGCCAGGGGTCAGGGGCCGAAGCCCAGCTCGGCCTTGCCTGGGCTGCCACGTGTCCGGGCCCAAGATGGGGCCTCTGCACTAGCCCCCTAGATTAGGTTGGGCTGTCAGGCAGACCTAATCTAACTCTGCCACGTGGGAGGCCAGGGCCGCGCACTACCCTGCCCAGGTCACTTCTGGTACAGTGCTGTCGCAGGGATGCCGCGCCCACGTCCCTTCAGTTGTCACGCCTCTTCGGTTTCCGTACCAGCATTAAATGCATTCACATGGGGGTCGGTTCGAATTCACCCGACCGTTTTCCCCCCATTTCTCCTCTTATAAATAGGAGTTACCAGATTTCAATCGACTCCATTTGCCATTTTCTCCCCCTCTCACGCATTTTGCCCTTCCATCTTTCTTTGTGCACTTGCATTTCCATTTTTCAACAACTTCCGGCGTCCCACACCCAGATTCCGGCGAGCTTTCCCTCCATCTTCTGTGTCAACATCATCAGTAAGTTCTCCTTTTGCAACTTTTCTCCCTTTTTGCAGTGTCTCCTCCACCCTCTGCTACTCCTCACCTTTTATGTCCGGTCATCCCGGCGACGCTTCCCCCGTGCCCAGAATCATCATATTGTCCTCTCCTTCTCTTTCGTCTTCATCACCATCTTCTCCTCCTCCCCTCTCTTCTTCTTCACCTGACTCCGGTCCTAGCTCCCATTCTCGCGCTCCTGATTTGCAGGAACCTCTAGCCGCGATGAGCTCCTCTTCTGACCATTCCCCGTCAGCTCATTCCCCTACAGCCCGGGAACTGGAGGAGGCGGCCGAGCTCGACGCCTACCTCGAGCAATCCTCCACTTCCTCCCCCAGGTCTCCCCATGGCTCTCCTGGTGGGGCCCAGGGGGGAGTTGGGGAGGACAGGGACTCTTCCGAGGGGACCCCCGACATCCCGCAGGGGGACGCCCCTGAATTCAACTTCGGCCACCCCGACCGCGAGGAGGTCACCATCTCACCCGAGGCGGTGGCCGGCCTGGTCAGGACCTACTCCATTCCCCCGGCCTTCGAGCCAAGGGCGGCCGGGCCCGGCGACCGAGCCTGCCGACCTCCCCCTGGCTTCGTATCCATATACAAGGAGCAGCTGATCGGAGGGCTCCGCCTTCCGGTTACTCCAGCCCTGGCCGAGGTCCTGGGCTACTTCGGGCTCAAGATCACCCAGGCTCACCCCAACTCGATCAGGATCGTCATAGGATTCCTGATCTACTGCCAGCTCTGCTCCATCCCTTACTCACTCTCCTTGTTCCGAGCTGCTTTCGTCCTCAAGGCATCCTTCCCCGGGTGGTATTACTTCTGCCGCCGGGCAGGGGACCAGAGCCGGGGGGACAAGGGCTGCCAGGACTTGTTCTACAAATTCCCCTCCTCCGTCAAGAACTGGAAAGGGGACTTCTTTTTCATAAAGTCCATCGGCCTCGACGCCACCGCCTGGAGGGTCGGGGCGGTCAAGCTCGACCCCTACACTAAGGACCTGGACTCTGACACCCTCTTCCAGCTGCTGAACTCCAAGGTGAAGCTCACTGCCACCAAGTTCTCCAGCGAGCAGATCTCTGCCGCCGGACTGACGGGGACATTGTCCGGGTCCTCTGGCGAGGTGGAGGCCTCCCCTGTCGACCTCGACGCCTGTAACGCTGCTCCTAACCTTGTAACCCGTTGCATTTGCATATATACGTATACTGACTTACCATCCTGCTCCGGCTGACCTTGTTGTTCTTTTGCAGTGAGGAATCTGTCCAAGCTGCTGGGTGCGCCCCTCGAGGAGGCCACCTCCACCTCTCCACCAAAAACCGCCCAGGGGGCTTCTGCGGCCTCCCAGGGCCCAGGGGGCAGCTCAGCCCCCCAGACAGAGGTGCCGCAGCCATCTCCCTCCAAGCAGGCCGCCAACAAGAAGAAGGCGGCTGGGCAGAAGAGAGGCAGGGCTGAAGAGCCCTCCCAGGTCGGGCAGAAGAGGCTCGCGCCGGCTGCTCCGACGCCCCCCCTGGTGTCATCGGGGGGTCCAGTCCACGTGGGCGTTGGCTCCGCTGAGGAGCATGCTCTGGAGTCCCCTCCTCCGAGCTTGTGGCACTTCCGCCACATCCTCCCCCAGAAGCCGGGCCAAGCCCCCACCATGCACGATCCCCGTCACTTCTGCCCCTCCTGGAAGCTCTCCATCAACGACCGGGCCCAATTCCCTGAGGCAGCTCGGGAGTTGATGGTGGGCTCGGTCCTCCCGCGGGACAGGAGGTGGATGGAGCTCGCCGACCCTGCCGAACTCCAGGACATGTACTTCACCTCCCAGGCCCAAGTAAATTTTCCACCCCTGGGATAATTTTGCCTCCATGTCTTAGTTAGGTAGTGTAACATGCTGACCTGTTCCCCTTCCCCTTCAGGCCAACGCCGCTGGAGCCGCCCTGGCGACCCACTTTTCCGAGCTGTCTCCCGACCTGGAGAAGTTACGGAAGAAGAACCTGGAGGCGGAGAAGAAGCTGTCCCAAGCCCTCAAGGAGGCCAGCTCCCTCAAGGCCAAACTGGACAAGGCCGAGAAGGAGATGGACGCCGCCCAGGTCCAGCTCGCCTCCACCAGGTCGGAGCTCGACCAGGAGAAGGCCGGTGCAGCCAAGCTGAAGGAGGAGCACGTCATCGAGCTCTCCGGCACCGTCAGCCGGGAGCGGAAGAGGGCTGTTCGGGAGTTCCTCACTTCCGAGCAGTTTGAGGAGGACATCGCCCACCTCAACCTGCCCATTCTCCAGGTCGGCTGCACCAGGGCCCTGGACCAGGTGAAGAAGCTCAATCCTCCCGGCCTCGACTTGGCGAGCTTCAAAGACTACAACCCCGCAGCCGAGGCGAGACTGGACTAGCTCTTCGACGGGTACCGCAAGGGGCACTCCCTGAAGGAGCTGGCGGGCCGGTCTGACACCGGGGCTGTGCTAGAGGAGGTTCCCTTGGAGGAGGGCGGGTCTCCTGGCCGAGCTGCCGGGAAGGAGCCGGTGGTCTAGGGCAGCGGCCACTCCAGAGATCCTTTCTGTCTTCTTATAAGGATGTGACCATGCTCCAGTTGAAAATGCTCTCGGAGGTCCATCCAAGACGAAAGGGCTCCCCTGCTCCCGGGCTCCTGAATAGCCTTCACCATGCGCCTCTCAACATGCTTAAGATGTACTTTCAGCTCCTGCTCCGGACGAGGAAAGCCTTCACCATACGCCTCTCAGCATGTTTAAGGTGTACTTTCAGCTCCTCCCCGGTCGGGCCACCAGCAGGTAGAACGGACATCGAAAGAGATCGCCAGCTCGGAAATTTTGCGGTAGATAGGCAGGGTGCTTTGTAATAGATAGGCGGCTCAGAAACTCTGTTAGCCTTGTAATAGATAGGCTTTGGATGCATATATAAAACTTGAGGAGACCTATTTTGCATTTCTTGCCTGCTCCCCATTCTGTCGTGCCGACCTCTAGGGGTCAAGCATCAGCTCCCATCCAAGTTCTCAATCACGCCGATCTCCTGGGCCAAGCCTTGACTTGGGAGCCTTGGAGTATTTAAGCCATGCCAACCTCTTGGGGTCGAGCATGTCAGGCGTCGAACTCCTTTCCGCCGACCTCCTGGGCCGAGCGTGGAGTTTTCAGAACCCAGAACCCTTCCAAGTTTTCTCGTTTTTCCTCGATCATGCCGACCTCGTGGGCCGAACACTATACCTTGATCGTGCCGACCTCCTGGGTCGAGCACCGACTTAGGAGCCTTGGAGGACTTAACCCCTGTCGACCTCTAGGGGTCGAGCATGTCAGGCGTCGAGTTCCTTTCCGCCGACCTCCTGGGTCGAGCGAAAGGTTTTTTTTGGCACCCTTCGCGGCTTTCAAGTCTCTCTTCATCGTGCCGTATTGGGATCGAACACCATGTGCCAGCCCCTTGGGGCTGAGTACTTTAAGCATCAAGTGCGTTTTGTGCCGACCTCCTGGGTCGAACACCTCACACTCGGCTGAATACTTAACCTTTGAGTGCGTTCGCGCCGACCTCCTGGGCCGAACGCTTCACACTTGGCCGCTTAGTACCCCTAGCCCCCCACTAGGACATTGAGCGAGGGAACGCTAAGTGTGCTAGTGTGAGGTGCAGACTTGTAAAAAATGTTACAATGGAACAAGTACAAGTGGAATTGAAATTGTAAAGTCTGACTTTTATTGATTGAGAAAACAAAAATTCTGATTCAGAGTACAGACAACTGGGATTTCTAGGCTATCCTATGCTAAAAACAGTCGCAGATTGGAGAAGTGCCAAGTACGGGGTACCTCGGATCCATTCATGCTGGCGAGCTTGCAGTAACCAGCTCGGCTCACCTCAAGGACCTTGTAGGGGCCCTCCCAATTTGGGTCGAGTTTGTTGGAGTTTTGAGCTCGGCTGATCGAGTTCTTTCTTAGAACGAGGTCTCCGGGCAGGTACTTTATAGTCCTCACTTTGGCGTTGTGATAGCGGGCGAGCTGCCTTTTATACTTAGCCATTCGAACAGCCGCTTCCTCACGCCTGACTTCGAGCATATCCAAGTTGCACCTGAGCTCTTCCTCGTTGGAGGTTGCCACGAAGTTCTGTGTTCTGGGTGAGGGAAGACCGACCTCCGCGGGCACCACCGCCTCTACTCCATAAGTTAGGGAGAACGGGGTCTCTTGGGTTGCCGTTCGGGGCGTAGTGCGGTAAGCCCAGAGGACACTGGGGAGCTCATCCAGCCAGCTCGATTGGGCGGACTCCAGTCTAGTCTTCAACCCTTGCAGAACGATTCGGTTAACGTTCTCCACCTGACCATTGGCCTGCGGGTGACCAACCGACGTGAAGTGTTGGTTGATTCCGAGCTCGGCGCACCAGCTGCGGAAAGGGTTCTCGGCGAACTGGCGGCCGTTGTCGGATATCAGGACATGCGGAATCCCAAACCGGCAAACTATGCTCTTCCAGAAGAATTTCTGAATTGCCTTCCCCGAGATAGAGACCAGGGGCTCCGCTTCCACCCACTTAGTGAAATAGTCTATTGCCATCACAAGGTGTTCATATCTTCCCGGGGCTCGAGGGAAGGGACCCAGGAGGTCTATCCCCCATTGAGCGAAAGGCCAAGGACTGTGGATGGAAACCATTTCTTGGACTGGCTGATGGCGCAGCGAGGCGTGCACCTGGCAAGCTCTGCATTTCCGGACCAGATCTGCCGCGTCTCGGAAGACAGAGGGCCAGTAATAGCCCAGAAGGAAACACTTTTTAGCCAACACCCGAGACCCCACATGCGCCGCACATATTCCTTCATGGACCTCGCGCAGGACATAATCACCTTCCTCGAGAGTCACGCACTTTAGCCAGGGGGACAAGTACGACCTCCTATAGAGGGTTCTCCCGGCGTAGGCGTATTTGGCAGCTCGGAGCTGGATTCGGCGGGCCTCTGCTTTGTTTTCGGGGAGGGCACCCGAGCTGAGGTAGTCTACGAGGGGCGTCATCCAGGTGGCCGAGCTGTCTATAGCCAGGACCTGGACCTGATCGATACTCTTTTGTTTTACCACCTCCACCAAGACCTCTTTGCTCAGATGGGCAAAAGAGGAGGACACCAGCTTTGAGAGGGCATCTGCCCGCTTGTTCTGAGACCTCGGCACCCGCTCGATTTCAAAGGTTCCGAACAAGGCCACCGCCTCTCTTACCTTGGCCAGGTATTTCTTCATGACCTCATCCTTGGTTTCGTACTCCTCGCGGACCTGGAGGACGACGAGCTGAGAGTCACTCCAGACTCTGATCGCGGTGATGCCCATCTGGTGGGGTATCCACAGCCCCGTCAACAGGGCCTCGTATTCCGCCTCGTTATTGGACGCAGGGAAGTCGAACCTAAGCGCGTAGGTCAGTTCTTCCCCGGTAGGCGAGGTGAGCAGCAGGCCAACTCCGCTCCCTTCCTTGCTCGAAGCGCCATCCACGAACAGCACCCATGGCTCCTCGGCCGGGGTGTCCGTGGGGGTCGGGACTAACTCGGCCAGGTTTAAGTTAGCCCCCTCTGCAAGGAAGTCTGCCAAGGCCTGGGCCTTGATTGCGGTGCGAGGCCGATAACTAAGGTCATGCTCGGCCAGCTCGACGGCCCACTTGGTCATCCTGCCCGAGACCTCGGGCTTGGTGAGTATCTGACGCAAGAGCTGGTCGGTCAGGACTACAATGCCGTGAGTCTGGAAGTAAGGGCGGAGCTTGCGTGCCGCATGTACCAAGGCAAGGACCAGCTTCTCGGCTGGCGAGTATCGTATCTCTGGCCCCTGTAGAGCTCGGCTTACGTAATACACCGGCCTCTGATCCCCCCCGTCTTCCCGCATCAAGACCTCACTGACGGCCTCGTTGCAAGCGGACAGGTATAGGAATAGGGTCTCCCCCGGCTCTGGGACGGTCAGAGTTGGTAGCTCGGCCAAGTAGGTTTTTAGGTCGGTGAAAGCCTTCTGGCACTCCTCAGTCCAGTGGAAGTCCTTCGGCGCTTTCAGTACTCGGAAGAAGGGCAGCCCCCAGACCGCAGAGCGCGAGAGGAACCTATTCAGGGCGGCCATCCTTCCTGTTAGCCGTTGGACTTCCTTCACGCTCCTCGGAGGGGCCATGTCCACGATGGCCTGGAGTTTGTCCGGGTTGGTCCGGATTCCCTCTCGGGACACCAGGAAACCGAGAAACCTTCCCGACCTGACCCCAAAGGTGCATTTCTTCGGATTCAGGCGCATCCGGCTCTCCAAGAGGATGTTCAAGATCTCCTTAAGATCGGGTATGAGCCGCTGGTCCGTCCGGCTTTTGACGATCATGTCGTCCACATAGACCTCCATGTTTCTGCCGATCTGGCCTTGGAATAGCTTGTTGACCAGGCGCTGGTAAGTGGCCCCCGCGTTCTTGAGTCCGAATGGCATGGTCCTATAGCAGTAGGTCCCTTCCTCGGTGATGAAGGAGGTCTTATCCCGGTCCTCCTCAGCCATTTCTATCTGGTGGTATCCCTTAAAAGCATCCAGGAAGCATAAAACATCAAAACCCACAGTAGAGTCTACTAACCTGTCGATTCTGGGCAGGGGAAAGCAGTCCTTCGGGCAGGCTTTGTTAAGGTACGTGAAGTCTACGCACATCCTCCAGGTCTGGTCCTCCTTCTTGACTAGGACCGGATTGGCCAACCAGGTCGGGTAGTAGACCTCCAGGATAATCTTGGACTCCAACAACTTGCCGACCTCCGCCTTGATCATCTCGTTCCTCTCAGGGGCGAAACTCCTTTTCTTCTGCTTCACCGGCTTGAAGTGAGGGTCGACATCAAGGTGGTGGACTGCCAGGTCCGTTGGGATCCCAGGCATGTCATCCACCGACCAAGCGAAGACCTGGGAGTACTCTCTTAGCAGAGCTTTCAGGTCCTCCTTCTCCTTGGTGGGCAACAAGGCTCCGATGCGGAGAACCTGGTTGGGCCAATCCTCCCTTAGGGGGAACTCCTCAATCTCATCCTGGGTGCCCAGCTGTTGGGCCTCATCCCCCGGGATTTAGGGCTCCAAACAGGTCGTCTGGGCGACCACCCTTTCCTGCCCTCGGAGTGTGGCCAGGTAGCAAGCCCTGACTACCTCTGGATCGCCGTGCACCTCGGCTATCCCTCCCGAGGTAGGGAACTTGACGCTGAGGTGGTAGGTGGAGGGAATAGCCCGGAGGGCGTTCAAAGCAGGCCTCCCCAGGAACACATTGTACGGGGACGACTGCTTGACCACCACGAAATTAACGGGAACGGTCCGACACTTGGGAGTCTGTCCTACTGTGACCATCAGGGTGATCATCCCTTCCGAACTGATGGGTGGTCCTGTGAAGCCTACCAGAGGTGTCCTGACCGGGGTCAGCTGGTCATCCCTTAATCCGAGCTCCTTGAACACCCGATAGAACATAATGTCAACCGCGCTACCCTGGTCGACATACACCTTCTTTACCCGGTAGTTGTTGGTGACAATGTCTATCACGATGGCTTCGTGGTTCCCGGAGGCCAGGGGGACCGCATCCCTTGGTCCGAAGGTAATCTCCTCGTCCATGCGCAAGCGCTTCAAGGAGTCGTCCCCTTCGGGGGGTGGTCGCTTGTTCTTCCGAGCCGCATGACTGTCCCCCCCCGTGAGGCCTCCGGCGATGGTGTTTATTACCCACGTCAGGTTCTGGGTGTCCTGGTCGGGAGAGTGGCCCCGAGGAGCGTCGCGCCGCTCAGGGCGGTCGCGTCGCCGTCCCTCGTGCCTATCCCCGTAGTGGTTGCGCCCCAACTCCTGACCTGGTCGGCGTACGAACCGCCCTAAAAAGCCGCGCTGGATCAGGTCTTCTATCTCGTTACGCAGGGCCCAGCATCCCTCCGTGTCGTGTCCGACGTCGCGGTGGAAGGCGCAGTACCGATCCTGGTTCCTTTTATTCCGGGGCGTCCCCATCTTGGGAGGCCGATCTCCCAGCCCTTCCGCCTCCATCACAGCCAAGATCTGAGCCCTCGGCCGTATTAGGGGGGTGTAGGTCTTCTCTGGGAGTGGCGGCGGAGCAGGGGCCTTCTCCTTCGAGAGCCGGTCGAAGACGTTTTTCTTGGATGGGACGTCCTTGCCCTCTGAGGGGTTAGTCCGATCTTTCCGATCCCCGAGCTCCCGATCGGATTCTTTCTTTAGGCGACCTGCCTCCTCCGCATTAGCAGCCTCGTGCGCCCTGCGAAGGAGCTCCTCCAGGTCTACGGGGGGCTTCTTGGCCAGGTCGTAGAAAAACTCCTCCACCCTGAGCCCGTTCGTGAAGGCGGCTATCACCACTTTTTCGTCCCTGTCCCTGACCTGCAAGCTCTCCGCATTTAAGCGGGTCATGAAATTCTTCAGTGACTCATCGGGCCTTTGCCTGATGGACATCAGGTGGGTTGCGTTCCTCGCGTAGACCTTCGAGGAGGCGAACTGGGCGGCAAACTGTCGGGCCAGCTCGGGAAAGCTCCGTATAGACCCCGGTTTCAACCCCTGGAACCAGAGCCGTGCCTTCCCCTTTAGGAACATGGGGAAGGTCTTGCAGCGGACCTCATCCGCAGCGGTTTGCAGGCGCATGTGCGTCAAGAAGACCGAGAGGTGGTCCTCCGGGTCTGTAGAGGCATCGTACATCTCGATACTCGAAATCTTAAACCTCCGGGGTAGCGGGTAGTCCTCTATTTCCCGGGTAAAGGGCGAAATAGCGTAGTTGTCCTCGTATGGCCGGGGCCTAAAGATCTGTTCAAGCTCATCCCGGGCAGGGTCCGAATGAAGGTGGTTGCGAGGTCGGCTCCTGGCAGATCTGTCTGGGGAGCGCACGAGACCGTTCCTCGCAGGCCTCCCCAGCGAGGGTCCCCTCGACTTGCTCCCCGTGGACCTGTGCCGGGAGTACCTTTCGCTGTCTCCGACTTCCGAGGCTCGCGGGCGGGGAGGAGTCCGTGGCCGTTTCCTCCTAGGGGGCTGGTCTCGTGACTCATCCTCCGAAGGATCAGGGGTGACTCCTTCTCCTTCCCCTTGGGCCCGGAGGTCTGGGCACCCTCTGCCCCCTCTCCCTCCTTCGCCTGCCGGATTATATCCTTCAGTATGGGGAGATTTTCCGTCACGAACTGGAAAATCTGCTGCCTGCGCTCCCCTGAAAGGGCGGAGCCTCCGGCGCCCCGAGACGCCTCAGCCTCCTTCCGCTGGGATCCCTCACCGCCTCCAGGGCCGGCGCTGTCTACCGCTCGCTTGGATCGCGTCTTTTCCATCAACACAACTGCACTTACCTCTCGTTCCCACAGACGGCGCCAACTGAAGAAGCACGGAACTTCCCCGGATAGAGCTGACCTGATCAGCTCGGGGTGCTGATGGAAGAGCTGACTCCGAGCCTGCAAAACAGAAAGGAAGAGCTAACAAAAAAGGGGGGCCCGAGGGTTGTCCCCGAGGGCACTCCGACGGTCAAGTTAGTTCTCCGGTGTGTAGAGTTTACTGGAAGTGGTAACAGCCGGGAGTAATTTGCCTATAGTGAGCGTACCTTGTACAGTTGACGTGTGCTACCATTTATACCTGCGAGGGAGTCCGACCTCCGTACGTTTCGGGGCCTGCCCGAAATAGCCGGTATCCCACACTTAGGGGGATTCCCTCCGATCTCTTCGGGATGAACCCTTCCCCCCTCGGGAGCCCTAGTGGTGCGGCCCAGGTCGGCTGCCAGGGGCCAGGGGCCGAAGCCCAGCTCGGCCTTGCCTGGGCTGCCACGTGTTCGGGCCCAAGATGGGGCCTCTGCAGTTAGCAAACGGACAGAGTATCATAATGATAATAAAAGTGAGTATGAGTATTTAATTGATGGACTAAATGTAGCTTAGATGTAATAATGCCCCATTAGAAAAATTCAAAGTGCAAAATGTGGATTCAATTATGCAGATCGGAGTGACAAAGAATCAGATAATAACAATCTTTTTGTGATAAGAAACATTAACTCTTTTGGCTTAAAGGAAAGGAAACTGTCATCATGACAATATCAAATATTAAATATAATTATCTGAACTCCAAGAATCCAAACTAGGTCACAAACAATCTGAAGATGTAAATTTTCTGTCGTAAGAAATTTAAAAGAAATTTCTCATATCAAATTTAAAGTTGTATTTTTATCCTCTTTGGAATATGTACTGTACGTCATACATGGTACTTGCTCGATAATTTTTTTTCATTAAATAAGAAACATTTATTAATGAATTACTAGAAATCGTCCATCACGATTTGCTTAACAAAATCAGAATGGATGTTCTATAAATAGTCTCTACAATTAACAGATTTTGTATAATAAGCTAAACTAAGTGCCAACTGGTACCTACAAGATATTTGTACTGTTATGAAAGCCAATAATTTTATGTAAAATGAGACCATATAGAGCTTGTATCTATAGTTTCAATTGAAAAACACAAAATTCCAACTATGCCTATTCACTATTATCCATATTCTCTTGTCCCCAACTAATTACAATGTTATTTGTAGAGACGAAACATATTAACACATCTTTTTATTCCATTATTCTGCAACTATCTGCTTTTACAATATCATGCATTTGTGCAAACGTACATGCAAAATTTTAGAGTAAGTAAGAAAAACTATTAATCTTCATTGCCAATTTAAGGATGATGATCTTGGCTACCACGTTGTGGAAAATGCAACTCAATATACTTGATATTTGGTCCTAATATTGGGGGCACAACATTATGCAACTATGATGTCTAGATGGACCTCGATCCTGTATGTTACCATTTTTATGCCTATGATGAAAGCAAGGACTATAATAAATGCAAGTTGCAGAGCTCAAGGATGATACTCGAACGCCACTACTTATTCGGATAAAATCAGCAGAGTAGCTATTGGGAGCACTTCTATATTAGTTCACATAGATTGCTTTAAAGACCATTTGGTTTGTATGATGAATACCTATTCAAGACAAATTTAAATTGCATATGAGAAACAAATTAATAATGTTTCTAATTAATTCCTCTATTATACTTTGGATAATGGTAAGAATATAAAAATAAACATGAGGACGGTGTCTTTAAATATTTGAGATTTTGAGGAGGAAAAAGAGTAAAGAAAAAAACTACACCCTTTTACTTTTTTTCACTAGTCCTGCAAGGACACCATGAAATTTATCATTTCTTATATTCTTTGTGGTTAAAAGCAAATTCATTGGTAAAATTGAGGAGTTTATAACTGTCATTGTCAAAATCAAAAAGTGAATTTTAAGGATCTAAACTAAAGAGCAAACGACAAAAGTGTAAATATTTCTTTCTCGTAAAAGCATGAAACTTTTTGGCATCTGTAGAAGTCACAGAAAAGATTGATAGCAAGGATTTATGTATATGAAAGACATTAAAAGAAACCCACACAAGTAGGAATACTACTAACAAATCATCCCACAAAACTAACCCATAAATAGTAGGAGAAGAAGCTCACACATTGTAAGATTTAAATCTATAATGTCAAAAGTTTCAACCTTAACTATTAGGATAAGACCCCATTAGTAAACAATAATGAATTCATAATTTTTACTGTGACTAGGGTTGCAAACGAGTTGAGTTAAATCAACTTTTCTCGAGTCGAGTCTCGATTTTATTTTACCAAATTCAAACTCAAACTCGAACTTGAAAAAATAAAAATAATTATTTTATTTTTTTAGTAATCTTTCTTAACAATTAATAAAATATTATGGATATATATAATTTCTCTATTAAAATAAAAATAATATATATATATAATCGAGCCAATTCGTGAACTAATGAATTTAGTATTTTTTAAATTTAAGTTTGAGCTCAAACTCGAATTCGATTTGGTCAGTTCAAGTTCAACTCAAATTTGGTATTAACCGATTTCAAGCCGAGTTTTGATTTGAACTGCTCACGATTGGCTTGCGAGCGACTCGAATCCTCTGCAGCTCTAATTGTGACAATATTAAAAATCAGGTGAAAAATGTAAATTTTAGGAGTCCAAACTAATAACTAACAAAAATCACAGAATGTTGATTTCTTTGACATAAGAACATTACGCTTTTGGCATAATGGAAAAAGAAAAGAGTGAAAGTACAAAAGTTCATGGTCACATTAAATACAAATGTGAATTCTAAGAGCCGAATTAAGTAGCAAACAATCTAAAAATATAAATTTCACGCCACAAGAATATTAACTCAGACGTTTAATGAGTGCCAACTAGCCACAAAATATCAATTTCTCTGACAAAAGAGCAACATTACACTTTTGGTGTAATGGAAAAAGGAAAGAGTGAAAGTACAAAGGTTCGTAATTGCCGCATCCACGACATCCACAATAAATACAAATGTAAATTCCAAGAGTTTAAACTAGGTAACCAACAATCTAAAACTATAAATTTTCACGTCGCAGGAATATAAACTCAAACATTTAGTGAGTGGCATCTAGCCACAATAATTTTCTTCATCACAAACCAAATTAGTATATATAGTCCCTTGTTCTCAAGTTAAACTCAAATCTTATCTCCAGAGATGAAGTGCATTAGTGCATCCTTTTGCTCCATCATTCTGCTGCTATTAGTTTTTGGAACATCGTGCACTCGTATAGAAACATACATGCATATCAAGAATAGGCTAGGAAAAGCAATCACTCTGCATTGCCAATCAAAGAATGATGATCTTGGCCACCACACTCTTGAATTCCAGCAATCCTACAATTGGAAATTTGTATACAATCTTTTTGGAACAACATTGTTTTTTTGCGACGTGTTGTTTGATTCTGATCCCAAATGGTACCATTTTGATGCATATATCTACCATAGAGACGTTATCAGATGTAACTTGAACCATTGTTGGTGGCAGATAATTGAAGATCACCAGGCAAGTCAATATGATGGGTCAACTGGTGAATGGATTTACTACAATTTAACTCCAAAATGATTGCTTTAGAGAACATTTTGCAATAAATGTATTTTCCGGGCATCTCCCATTGGTGCTCCAGCAATGAAATTTACTATGTTTCTAATAGTTCCTTTTTGCAGTTTGAGTTGTATAAGAACATCAAAAATAAAAAGAAACATGGAGGATCGGGTGTGTTTGGATAGAAGATTATTTGGAAAAAAATTATTTAGAATAATATTATAATACTTTTTATATGTGATGTATGTGAAATAAAAAGATGGTTGAAAATTATGTTTCTAATGCAAGTTAAATAATATTTACAATTTTGTTTTTTGCAAATCATGCTAAACAAAAAGTGTTAGGATCCAAACGCGAAACAAACAACTATTGAGATATCAAGTGCACAACAATTTAATGAGGAACAAGCTGCAAGTATGAAAGATAGACGACACACAATATTTAACGTGGTTCGGCTCCACCATTGAGCCTACATCTACGGAGAGAAACTCGTTCTTTATTATGAAAGGAAAATCCTATACAAGAATACAACTTAAACCCAATTCCAACCCTTGTATACCATCTCTCATCTCCCAAGAACCCTCTCTCACACCCCATGTATAAGGCTACATGATGCCCCTTATGTCTCCTTGTGTGTCTCTTGTGCAGTTTGCCAACCCACCTATTTATAGATAACATTATTTGGTCAAACCCAAATAATAATAGGAAACCAATTCTAATTCCTAGACTTACATAG